CCACTACTGGTCTCACAGAACGAAAGGTGTTGAAACAGCTTCAAATTTTGTCGACTTCGATGAGCGAAGTGAACGCATGAGTTTAACATTAGGGCAACGTTCGTCCCGTCGCACTGTCTTACTGCAATATAGAACAGTGAGTTGTATATTGAAGACAGCCATTTCAAGGGTGGTGGCGGCGGTGCAGTGGTTTAGTCGCTGTCACCGGCATGCTTTAGACCCCATGGTCCAGGGTTCGAACCTCACCATCGCAGCCCAACTTCAGCAGCTTTGCTACCATCCGGCTCAATACCACACCTAAACTAGTGGGGCTTTATCCAGTTCGCCAGCCCAAATCCTGGGGCTTAGGTTGTTGATCTCCATCACTGAATAGCAGGTCTACACAACTATGGGCTCCATCCCGTCCGGTGTTTATCACACAAAATGTGTAATCAAAAAAAATTAAAATTAAGGTTAGTCGCCCAACCCACCCAAGTATTCTTCATCAACTTTGTATGTGACCAGTTGCGAATCACCGACAATCAACGTCAGAAATGATAAAACTCCGGGTGAAGATGATTTACCTCTAGCACTGCCTTAAACTAAAGCACCGGGCAATTCGAACGGATAACTGATCAGTTAAATTGAGGACATTCAAACAGGCCTACGTGACTGGAGTACCTAGGTTTGGCTACCGCCCCACAAGAAATATTGTGAGAACTGTTGGAACATCAGTTTGATCAAAATCGCTGTCCAAATCTGCGTTTGGATGATCCTAAACCACTTTGTCACTTCGGGTACGAAAAATCAGGACAGGTTTCGCCCAGACAGAAGCTGTATCGATCGAAATTTAACTCTGAAGAACTGGGAAACACGAGAACAAATCCCAGCAGTCGTACGTCGGGGATATCGAACTTGGTTCATCAAAGGCATTTTGCCAGTTAATAGAGATCGAAAAGGATAGCACCAAACTAATGAATCTTCTTAGGTGGTCATCAATAAACATCAAATATTGAATCAGAACGAGTGGTAAGGAGCCTCGACTTTTTAAGCAAAACCAACGGGATCCTCTTCATTCTGTTCACATTCGCAGATAATTGAACTCAGCAGCAGGTTTTCACCGAGTATCGTACTTTTCAAGTTACTTTACATAACGGGCATCGATCACATCGATAATGTTGGGTTAATGTTCGATACCTTCTCCTAACTGTGGTAGGTAAATGATTGTGCGAATGGTATCACGGTCACTAATGCCTTTGAGATCAACGTGGATATAACAACAATCCCGTCGATGCCACTTACATTACATCACCGAAACGGAAACCAACTAGGGCTAATTCCTTCTTCAGGCGCTTGGGGGTATCTAATGCTCTCCCACACACAAAAATTTGAACAGCCGCTGGAATCGAAAATGTTTGAAGAGACTTCAAAACTAAAGAGCGTCGAACGATTCAAAAACGAAATCGATTAGGACGAACGTTTGAGCTCATTCTCTAAACAACTGCGAAACCTAGACGGTCAAATCATCGAAGATATTCACACGCTTGAGGTAATCAATCATCTGTGTCCAAAAGTCATTCTTCAAGCCTTCTGACAAATCAAACTTTCTGACAGTGTTTGGCGCTACATCGTGAAACAAATACATGTACAGATTATGTGGTTCGCTCATGTCTTGCGCTTAAGAGAAGATGAGAGGATCGAACTGATGTTGGATAACATCCCTGACCTCTCTTGTCAGGGCTTTAGGGGTGAACAACTGGAGACCTCATCAAGATCCGTCGCATTTGAATAGAGCGAATCGGAGCTCTGTGGTTGGAACTGAGAGAATATTACCAGAAATGGTCACATATTCAAAGACTACGGTGAAAATAGCAACTGGCCAACTACAGAATAAACCATCTTGAAAGGAAATTGCCTGTGCGCACAAACGTTTTGGCAGTTTAATTAGTCAGCTGATCACGGGAAGTTTGGTGCAACCTGATAATTTAGTTCATTCTTCACTTTGGCACTAAAAAGACATGCAACGCTAGTCGATCCGGGCATATAAAACTTTGGCAATTAACTGACTGTCGCAAATAAGTATCGATCCAGTAGTGACCCTGTTTCATCAAATTCTTATTCTACCGAGCGCTGACACGCGTCGATTTGACATACTGCCACCTCGACAGTTCAAAACGCCGTGCGATATTGTTGTATTTTACGCTCAAATACAATGTTTGCACTGGTTTACCATTCTGCATTGTTTCGCGTACGAGGCGGCTGTTGTTGAATCGTTATCGGTAGTAATTCATAAGGGTTATCAAATAGAATACAATCGCTAATGGAGCCGATTTACCTTACTTATTTTCGGACACTAACCGAGCTGTAAAGCTTTGCCCGTGTCCGGTCACACGGATTCCGACAAGAGTATAAAGATGCCAAAATTATAAGCATTGTAAGAACCAGCGAAAACAAGCAGACTTTCGATATTTAAAAGTCCCACCAAACCAGATGAACCTGAAAATATAGCTCTCGCAACTTCATAGTATCCGCAGATTACTTTGCTAGAATTAATGATGAATTGTCACTTGTAAAGAACTTGATCTGAACCGCGGTGTATTGAAAGATGCAATCTCTGATGGTTACGAAGTTCGCTTAAGCTAATAGCATAAATTTGAGGATTCCTACACTGTGCTTAATGGATGACCTAGATAGGAACCCATCGTGATGAAACACAGAGCATTCGTATGAGCCTTACAACAATTTGTGTTCGTGAAGTACCTAGTCAGGTATCACCTCTGATCACTAACCGAATAAGGCTAGAGCTGTTATGAAGGACCCTGAGGCCTTGTTTGTTAGGAATCCAAACACCAGCATTGTTTTCTTTCACAAACACAGTAACATTCAAAAACATCAAAACCTGAACAGAACGTTTGACAAAATTATATGAGAAGACGAAACAGATGTAGCAAATCGATTTATTTACCAACTAACAGATAACGTAATCAGGGTCGAACGATTGGGATGGAAAAGATGATTCTCGATGCAGCCTGTGTCTCAAGAGGGACACAAATTTTTGTGCTCCATCTGGTATTTCCGTGAATAACCAAAACTGAATACAGCAGAGCCCTGTAGATTCGTAACAATGAGTAATCCGTCAAATGTCTAATTCAGCCATAGACCAAACAAATATACATTAAGAAAAGATGCTCTAGAGTTACAAGAAGTTACGGTAAGGGGAGAACTGGCGATAGTTTTCATTCTGAGGTCGTCAGATATAGCAGCCGGTGGAGGATGCTAATAATAAAAATATGGCGGAAGAGTATAAGGATGCCCGATACTATTCACACGTAGAAGTTGTCGAAATCCATGAGGATCGGATTTCATAGGATCTCATCAAGAACATCTACATTCATGAGGATCACGAAGCTATTCGACGTAAATAGAACTAAGGAAACTCTAAATAAAAAATTAGTGAAAAGTGTATATATGTTAGCACCATGTTGGGTATTCTGAAAATATAAACTGAAATGGTAGATCACTGGGTTTTTAAAGATAGCATAGTGGTGTGTCAAACGGTAAGAGCGGATCCCTTTGATCAGGAATACCTATGGAAGCCGAAATCCATAACCCTGGAACTTGCAGTGATAGAAGATATGCAGCTTAATAGGATGGATGATGGTACTGAGTGATGCTACAGCAAAGTTGTCTATTATCACAAATGTGTGGCAGTAGTCGGATTCGAATGTCGAACCGGGGAGCCTGGAACCTGCCATTGACGGTAGTTCAAACCGCTTGATCAGCGTAGCCTTAACTATGAGCGCGACCCAAGACCAGTTGCACAGCGTCTACCAGCTTCTCAGTTTAGGCTACCTTCGTGTTACGTATACGCAAATGACCTCGTACGTAACATCAATAGAGAACTCATGAATAGAGTTCACAAGGAGTTAGACTGTAAACGTTAAAATAGATTCACCGCAGTCGTGTGACTTCGGCACCTTATGTTAGGGATATATCTTTACATTTAATCACGGTATGCAGAAAATCACCATGCAAACCATTGACCTATCCATCAATTAAAACCCAGTCATGAGGAACACGCTTTGGACGCCTTGGAGCATGACCACATGAGGCTAAAACCATGGGATTACAAACAGAGCAATTTTGAATCACCATAACAATAATACAGGAAAATGGTACATAAGGAGCATGATTGTCCTTGTGACGCTTGTTGCATTATATACACACCAGGTAATGATCCACTGGGCTCTTCACCATCGTTTTTGTGTACTGATGTATAGGACTGAACAGACAGGGGTAAGAAAATCGAGCACAAACAAACCATTATTTCCGCGGATAAACGTATCACCGTATTTGTTCTTCAGCTGGCCATCCACATACTCCTCGGTCTGTTCTAGCACCACGTTCATGTAACCATCAAGTGAGATTAGCACTCCTGAAGACACACATTAAGATGAAACTAAGCGAAATCACACAATTCCAATATACCTCTATAATCTGCCCCGGAATTCAATTTGACCACAACAGGTCTGCCAATGATCAGCTTGAGGAAATCACGGGGTGTTTGCTTGTGAGACATACCAGCTAAAATTAAACAAGCGGGTGCAAGATTAGATATGACTTTCTCGAGTGATCGAACTGCTACAAGTTTTGGCATTTAGAATGAACAAAATAAGAGAACAGAATGTGCATGTAGTTTAGGTGTAGAAGTCAAATCTTGCTTGCGTTCAGAAAGAAAAATCACTGAATAAAAATCGATAAGGTTTGCTTGCTGTATTTCATACGAACTGATGATGGACAAGTGCTGATAAAATGACTTCATTCCCCAATCTTCGTTTAGCTGCAGTCGGATACCATCTGACCAAGATATCGGGGGGCAAAGTGCAGACCGAAAACTCTCGTACTTTTGGATATGCGAAAGTCAAATACCCATTTCAAATAAATTTCTTTACTCCTTTCCTTGGGATACTAATTGGAATTGATGCTTCGTTGCATTTTGAGAGTGGAAGATGGGAAACAATGGGAAGCCAGTCGAACAAAGTTTGCATGCAATGCCATTTTCCAAGAAGGGAACTTCGAGTGTGACCATGGTACAAGATTACTGTCTGATGATTGACTGGAACACTTTCATAACTTGGTTGAAAAATTGGCTCCCGAATGAAGCTTCTGATCGCGTGTTGAAGTTTCACGCTTAGATAAGTGTTGTTTTGGGGTGAGCTATTGCTGAAAAGTCAGTCAGATATTTAACACACGGACCCTGATTATTCCAATCGAGTTTCAGTGACATCAGAAAACCAAACGAAAGTAGGCATAACCCGTGATTCCGTTTGCTTCATATAGGTGAATGTACACGAACAAGGACAAGTTAACTTTTGTCAAATAATGTCTGATTGAGAAAGCATTTTCCAAAGGACCTGAATGGCTTTCAAGTCTCGGTTGAAGTGTGGCGAGGAAAATGTTAACACCGAGAAGCGGGTTTTGGGAAACAGGATGGTGGTGTTTTCCTTCTAGAACATCAATGTGCTCCTCGTGGAAGCTTTCGGTTGAGTTATGTGATTTTAACTAGGAGTTCGGATTCGGGTTCGACCCCAGTTGGGTCGACGGATTCGCACTGATGATGAGACCAAACTTGGTTTTCTGCCTATTGTTGTTTGGCTTGACAAAAACTGCCTGTTCAGGAAGCCTATCAGGTGACACGAATAACACACCGCATACGCTTTCTTGGCTTCCTACGTGTAGACCTGACCATTGTCTTAGTAAAATGTTGTGACACAGTTATATCTCCTTTGTTGCGGAGCTTTAGATGGTGACTAAGCTGTTGACAAATGACAATCTAAATACACCAGGATAAGTCATACATAACTTTATCGAACTGTGCTCACAATTCTCAAAGTGTAATGAGATGCTAAAGGTACTCAGCTAACCTCCACTCCCATTTGTGAACCGTACCCGCGGTTGTCAGTTGACCTTCATTCACAAATTGGAGGAAACAATCGTTCAGCATACGCCTCGTTTTGATTCCGAATGAATGCGGAAGAGCAGCAAGTTATTTTCCTGACTAACAGTAAGCCGAAAGCTAGTAAATCCGCCGTTTGGTTTTATTTATTGAATATACAAATATACAGTCAGCATTCAGGAAGGGGGCCGCGGTTATACAAAGGCTCCCTGTGAAGAAGCATAAAACAATCTAAAATATATAGCTTCCAGACTGGTAACGCAGTACGACGAATATGGTACGGTCATTGTGTTGGTGGTCGGCGTTCTGAGACAAGCGAGAAGATACTATGAAGGATATTGCAATGTCTGAGGTGAAAAAGCATAAATGCGGGCAGACATCGGGATATCCCTCCCTGCAGTTTTCTACTTTTACAGAAGGCCGACCGCTACCAAAGAGATGAAGGCATGCAATAAATTTGAATAAAGTCCAACTGCATAGCGTTCATAAAGCTTAGGTCGTGCGATTGCATCTCGTACATCGGGAACTGTGAGTTCAGTTCCAGGCAATCCGATAGACTTGTATGTGATTTTTCTGATGAACTGACGATTTTAGTTCTTTGGTTTACAGTGTAGTTGCATATGCACGAGACTGCATCCTGGTACCATTCGCGGCAGGTAAGCCGGGGTTTTTTGAAATAGTTACATTCTTTGCATGTGAGAACATGTTCAAACACAATCTCCGCCAAGGTACTAACCACGCTATTACTTGTGGCTACATCTTTGACGGTGGTGATAGTTTACCAAAAACTAAACCTGTGGCGGTTACGATTCAGTTTAATTCGTAGAGTCACTCACGTGCTGTAGTATCGGCTTAGCAGCAAAGCTAGTGCTTGAAATGTACTGTGTCGGTAAGTGATGCATCAATCGATTGAACTGATGTACATCACATCGACACCGTTAGAGGGCAAACGTTGTACACCAACTCATTCGAAAACATGAATTGTTGAGCGGATTACCACACCGAAGGCAGCAGTTATTCAACATAAACTTTCTTGATATTGAAGCCAGCATGAAATAAAGGAGTTTCATTAACAATGCCCTCACTTTTCATGAATCTACTTAGATTGAATGTTTAGAACTCTCATGCGAAGAAACAATTTAACCGCAAACGGAAAGATGTATAAAACCATAGGAAATAAAATAGCAAAAACAGCGTTGCGTTGTCCGTTGTGATTAGCGATCTTGTGTTTTTTTCTCAAATCTGTTATTTCACTGACTATAAAAATCGTTTGGATTGCAGTATGCACGTGTACAGATGCAGCGAAATGACCATGGATACATTGTGCAAACCCATGTTTCTGACTTCTCTGTTCAAATACTTTTATCGTTTGTGATTCTCTCATCAGTCACACACAGCTTTTCGACGAATTCAACAAGTGTCATCCGGCTATTCGTTTCACCTGTGAATTATAGAAGAGCGGAAAACTACCCTTCTTTCTACACTAGTGGTGACAAGGAATTGGGATAGAAAAAACATTGATGCCATCGATGAGAATCTGTACACGATTATTGATTGAGCAAACCAATGGGATAGAGTATGATGAGAAAGTGTGGAACCCATGAAATTCTGACTGCATATATTAAGGAGTTACATGGCTTTTCGTATCTTAGTAATGAAAACAAGTGGTATAGAAGGCTAGTCTTGTATAGAGTGGGTTGTATGGGACATTTGGTTACGTGACTGTAACAAAATAAGAAGCAGATACTTCAGCTTTTTGAAACGTGTTACTTAATAGGTCATCCACAATGTGAGAAGCTCGAAGGGCATAAAACATGGGCTGATGGTGGTTTTTCCCCGTCACTGGTGTGCTTTAGTCCGAGGCTCGAGCACCGCCACTGCCACCCAACTTTGGTTATAGACAGCTTTGCTGTCGTCCAGTTATGTACCACGCTTGACCTAGCTGTGCTTTATGTGGTTCGCCACTTCAAGTCCCGGTGTTTAGGTAGCCGGTTCCCATCATTGAACAGCAGCTCCGCGTGATTATGGGGTTCCACTCCGTCTGCTATCTATCACACACAGGTGCGTAATAAAAAATGATACGGCGCGTACCGTTGCTCAATACGCACTCTATTTCGGTGAAACGGATTTGTCGTGCCGGAACCAGAGGAAGTCTGACAGAGTTGGAGGGAACCCAGTGTTTTGCAACTCGACGGGCCACAACTGTTTAAACCAGTGGAGTGCATTGCGTTTTGAATGTTGATCTGGTATAAATTCCCCCACCAGTAAAAGGATCAACGTTATCATTGCCATTGACATAACTGCTTCGGTCTTGCGAAGCTTAAGAGGCACAGTTAGTGTGACTCTGTTATTTTGCCAATTTAAACATCGGAAGCCAGTCATCTTAGTCAAACTTTAACTCTGCTTATTCAATACAAATGTGTAGAAGCAAGTTTCAGGACCAATCAAACCACTTTCATGCGATACGAAGGAAAGACGATAATTAGGTGGCAGCGGTGAGATTCTAACGTGCGACCTTCAAGGAGGTGTGACGTCGTCCACTTGTGAAAGCTGTTTGTTTGGAACCCAGAGACCTGAGAAGTGTATCGATCCTTAAAGAGTTGTATTGTTGTACCTCCGGTCGGGTTATGGCCTGTGACCAGCTTTCGCCACTCTCTGCGGTCCCCAGTGGAGCCCCATGTCCTCATTCCTGTTCAACTTCCGCGGAACGTTTTCTGCGGGCTAGAAAACGGTGCAGTAGAACCTCTCTTAGGAACCAGAGTTCTTGGATGTTGATGCGATCGTTTTTCGGGTGACAATTCCTAGGCATTCCAACGCGTTTTAAACCGCTGGGTGATCGAGGTATTGAGGTGTGGTATGTGCCTCGCACCACCAAAGTGCTAAGTGCTTATACGAGACTACAGTAGCATGTCTGCACTCACCATCTGAGATTATCAGCTGGAAGTAGTTGAGAGCCTTCAGTACCTCGGGAGTTTAATCACAGCGAAAGCTAGAGCAGCTTTTGCGAACCGGCGACACCTGTAGCGTCACCAGGACATCCGTTTGTCTCCTAAGAGAAGGGCGTACATGGCTGTAGTTCGTACTGTTCTACTTTATGGTTTCGAGACCCGGCCCCTCCGCTTTGAGGATATACATATTTAACACCGGCTTATAGACAAGCACTCGGGAGAGCAGAGCTGTATACTACCGGGCGCGCCCCCAGGTCGCGGATAGGGGAACAACCGTCAACTCGCGGCTAACCGTGAATAAGGTGGGCTCCAGCCGTCCAAATGAGCGGTCGCGGACAATCAGCGGCAGCGCTCGAGGGTGCGGTGGGTTCAACTCCTGGCAAGAGTACTTTGCACAAAACACCACACATATCTGTGGACAGCGCTGTGACCTGGCGTGTGGCCCGCCACTAAATATGGCCATAGCCCCTTATCGAGTTTCTTTGCTCGACAAGGTTTTCCAGAAGAGGCGAATGAACCGAAAACCGGTCACCGGCTCATCTGGAACATCACTGCTACCTTGCAGTCCGCTCTTGGTTGCGCAAAGGCTAGAGTGCATCCTCGAACAAGGCCTACTCTGGATTGGGCGACCGAGTAGTACAGTAGCCTACAACGCAGACAACTATGAACATTCTC